GGGGGGCCCTTGGGACACCTAAGAGAAAAACACCATAATGTCCGGGGCCCAAAACTGTTCAACAGCCTCCCATCAAGCATTAGGGGAATTGGCAATAAACCCCTGGCTGCTTTCAAGAGAGAGCTGGACAGATACCTAAAGTCAGTGCCGGATCAGCCGGGCTGTGGCTCGTACGTCGGACTGCGTGCGGCCAGCAGTAACAGCCTAGTTGATCAGGCCCTGATCCATCGGGAGGCCTGGTCATGGACCGGGCCGCGGGGGCGTTGATCCCCGGAATAACCTCCAGGTAACCTCCAGGTATATTTATTTCAACTGCCTTTAAGCAATATTACTTCGTAATGAAGAATTAACGTCACAAAAAGAGAGGAAAGTTTTATCAATAACCAACAATTTGATAATAGATTTTAGACATTTGTTAATGACTGTTCAGGATGAAGTGAAAGTAAAGTCTATTCTTAATATTACTGAATAGTTGTAATTTGTTTCATGATAATCTTACTGTTTTATAGAAGGTTTAGTGCAATGTAATGTTCTGCACAGTTTGTAATACATATAATCGTAATGTGTAATAGCTTCTTCAGGCAAATACATGTGGTCAGTCCCACAGCCTGGAGAAGAGTTCAGCTCCATGGTCTGGAACAAGGTGGTCAGTCCCACAGCCTGGAGAAGAGTTCAGCCCATGGTCTGGACAAGGTGGTCAGTCCCACAGCCTGGAGAAGAGTTCAGCTCCATGGTCTGGAACAAGGTGGTCAGTCCCACAGCCTGGAGAAGAGTTCAGCTCCATGGTCTGGAACAAGGTGGTCAGTCCCACAGCCTGGAGAAGAGTTCAGCTCCATGTCTGGAACAAGGTGGTCAGTCCCACAGCCTGGAGAAGAGTTCAGCTCCATGGTCTGGAACAAGGTGGTCAGTCCCACAGCCTGGAGAAGAGTTCAGCTTCATGGTCTGGAACAAGGTGGTCAGTCCCACAGCCTGGAGAAGAGTTCAGCTCCATGGTCTGGAACAAGGTGGTCAGTCCCACAGCCTGGAGAAGAGTTCAGCTCCATGGTCTGGAACAAGGTGGTCAGTCCACAGCCTGGAGAAGAGTTCAGCTCCATGGTCTGGAACAAGGTGGTCAGCCCCACAGCCTGGAGAAGAGTTCAGCTCCATGGTCTGGAACAAGGTGGTCAGTCCACAGCCTGGAGAAGAGTTCAGCTCCATGGTCTGGAACAAGGTGGTCAGTCCACAGCCTGGGGGAAGAGTTCAGCTCATGGTCTGGAACAAGGTGGTCAGTCCACAGCCTGGAGAAGAGTTCAGCTCCATGGTCTGGAACAAGGTGGTCAGTCCCACAGCCTGGAGAAGAGTTCAGCTCCATGGTCTGGAACAAGGTGGTCAGTCCCACAGCCTGGAGAAGAGTTCAGCTCCATGGTGTGGAATAAGGTGGTCAGTCCCACAGCCTGGAGAAGAGTTCAGCTCCATGGTCTGGAACAAGGTGGTCAGTCCCACAGCCTGGAGAAGAGTTCAGCTCCATGGTCTGGAACAAGGTGGTCAGTACCCACAGCCTGGAGAAGAGTTCAGCTCCATGGTCTGGAACAAGGTGGTCATTTCCCACAGCCTGGAGAAGAGTTCAGCCCCATGGTGTGGAACAAGGTGGTCAGTCCCACAGCCTGGAGAAGAGTTCAGCTCCATGGTGTGGAAACAAGGTGGTCAGTCCCACAGCTGGAGAAGAGTTCAGCTCCATGGTCTGGAACAAGGTGGTCAGTCCCACAGCCTGGAGAAGAGTTCAGCTCCAGGGTCTGGAACAAGGTGGTCAGTCCCACAGCCTGGAGAAGAGTTCAGCTCTATGGTCTGGAACAAGGTGGTCAGTCCCACAGCCTGGAGAAGAGTTCAGCTCCATGGTCTGGAACAAGGTGGTCAGTCCCACAGCCTGGAGAAGAGTTCAGCTCCATGGTGTGGAACAAGGTGGTCAGTCCCACAGCCTGGAGAAGAGTTCAGCTCCATGGTATGGAATAAGGTGGTCAGTCCCACAGCCTGGAGAAGAGTTCAGCTCCATGGTCTGGAACAAGGTGGTCAGTCCCACAGCCTGGAGAAGAGTTCAGCTCCATGGTCTGGAACAAGGTGGTCAGTCCCACAGCCAGGAGAAGAGTTCAGCTCCATGGTCTGGAACAAGGTGGTCAGTCCCACAGCCTGGAGAAAAGTTCAGCTCCATGGTCTGGAACAAGGTGATCAGTCCCACAGCCTGGAGAAGAATTCAGCTCCATGGTCTGGAATAAGGTGGTCAGTCCCACAACCTGGAGAAGAGTTCAGCTCCATGGTGTGGAACAAGGTGGTCAGTCCCACAGCCTGGAGAAGAGTTCAGCTCCATGGTCTGGAACAAGGTGGTCAGTCCCACAGCCTGGAGAAGAGTTCAGCTCCATGGTCTGGAACAAGGTGGTCAGTCCCACAGCCTGGAGAAGAGTTCAGCTCCATGGTCTGGAACAAGGTGATCAGTCCCACAGCCTGGAGAAGAGTTCAGCTCCATGGTCTGGAATAAGGTGGTCAGTCCCACAACTTAGAGAAGAGTTCAGCTCCATGGTGTGGAACAAGGTGGTCAGTCCCACAGCCTGGAGAAGAGTTCAGCTCCATGGTCTGGAACAATGTGGTCAGTCCCACAGCCTGGAGAAGAGTTCAGCTCCATGGTCTGGAACAAGGTGATCAGTCCCACAGCCTGGAGAAGAGTTCAGCTCCATGGTCTAGAATAAGGTGGTCAGTCCCACAACCTGGAGAAGAGTTCAGCTCCATGGTGTGGAACAATGTGGTCAGTCCCACAGTCTGGAGAAGAGTTCAGCTCCATGGTGTGGAACAAGGTGGTCAGTCCCACAGCCTGGAGAAGAGTTCAGTTCCATGGCCTGGAACAAGGTGGTCAGTCCCACAGCCTGGAGAAGAGTTCAGCTCCATGGTCTGGAACAAGGTGATCAATCCCACAGCCTGGAGAAGAGTTCAGCTCCATGGTCTGGAACAAGGTGGTCAGTGCCACAGCCTGGAGAAGAGTTCAGCTCCATGGTGTGGAACAAGGTGGTCAGTCCCACAGCCTGGAGAAGAGTTCAGCTCCATGGTCTGGAACAAGGTTGTCAGTCCCACAGCCTGAAGAAGAGTTCAGCTCCATGGAGTGGAACAAGGTGGTCAGTCCCTCAGCCTGGAGAAGAGTTCATCTCCATGGTGTGGAACAAGGTGGTCAGTCCCACAGCCTGGAGAAGAGTTCGGCTCCATGGTGTGGAACGAGGTGGTCAGTCCCACAGCCTGGAGAAGAGTTCAGCTCCATGGTGTGGAACAAGGTGGTCAGTCCCACAGCCTGGAGAAGAGTTCAGCTCCATGGTCTGGAACAAGGTGGTCAGTCCCACAGCCTGGAGAAGAGTTCAGCTCCATGGTGTGGAACAAGGTGGTCAGTCCCACAGCCTGGAGAAGAATTCAGCTCCATGGTGTGGAACAAGGTGGTCAGTCCCACAGCCTGGAGAAGAGTTCAGCTCCATGGTGTGGAACAAGGTGGTCAGTCCCACAGCCTGGAGAAGAGTTCAGCTCCATGGTGTGGAACAAGGTGGTCAGTCCCACAGCCTGGAGAAGAGTTCAGCTCCATGGTGTGGAAAGAGGTGGTCAGTCCCACAGCCTGGAGAAGAGTTCAGCTCCATGGTCTGGAACAAGGTGGTCAGTCCCACAGCCTGGAGAAGAGTTCTGCTCCATGGTCTGGAACAATGTGGTCAGTCCCACAGCCTGGAGAAGAGTTCGGCTCCATGGTATGGAACAAGGTGGTCAGTCCCACAGCCTGGAGAAGAGTTCAGCTCCATGGTGTGGAACAAGGTGGTCAGTCCCACAGCCTGGAGAAGAGTTCAGCTCCATGGTGTGGATCAAGGTGGTCAGTCCCACAGCCTGGAGAAGAGTTCAGCTCCATGGTGTGGAACAAAGTGGTCAGTCCCACAGCCTTGAGAAGAGTTCAGCTCCATGGTGTGGAACAAGGTGGTCAGTCCCACAGCCTGAAGAAGAGTTCAGCTCCATGGTGTGGAACAAGGTGGTCAGTCCCACAGCCTGGAGAAGAGTTCTGCTCCATGGTGTGGAACAAGGTGGTCAGTCCCACAGCCTGGAGAAGAGTTCAGCTCCATGGTGTGGAACAAGGTGGTCAGTCCCACAGCCTGGAGAAGAGTTCAGCCCCATTGTGTGGAACAAGGTGGTCAGTCCCACAGCCTGGAGAGGAGTTCAGCTCCATGGTGTGGAACAAGGTGGTCAGTCCCACAGCCTGGAGAAGAGTTCAGCTCCATGGTGTGGAACAAGGTGGTCAGTCCCACAGCCTGAAGAAAAGTTCAGCTCCATGGTGTGGAACAAGGTGGTCAGTCCCACAGCCTGGAGAAGAGTTCAGCTCCATGGTGTGGAACAAGGTTGTCAGTCCCACAGCCTGGAGAAGAGTTCAGCTCCATGGTGTGGAACAAGGTGGTCAGTCCCACAGCCTGGAGAAGAGTTCAGCTCCATGGTGTGGAACAAGGTGGTCAGTCCCACTGCCTGGAGAAGAGTTCAGCCCCATGGTGTGGAACAAGGTGGTCAGTCCCACAGCCTGGAGAAGAGTTCAGCTCCATGGTGTGGAACAAGGTGGTCAGTCCCACAGCCTGGAGAAGAGTTCAGCTCCATGGTCTGGAACAAGGTGGCCAGTTCCACAGCCTGGAGAAGAGTTCAGCTCCATGGTGTGGAACAAGGTGGTCAGTCCCACAGCCTGGAGAAGAGTTCAGCTCCGTGGTGTGGAACAAGGTGGCCAGTCCCACAGCCTGGAGAAGAGTTCAGCTCCATGGTCTGGAACAAGGTGGTCAGTCCCACAGCCTGGAGAAGAGTTCAGCCCCATGGTCTGGAACAAGGTGGTCAGTCCCACAGCCTGGAGAAGAGTTCAGCTCCATGGTCTGGAACGATATCGTCATGAAAATATTATAAAATACCGACAAACTGATCTACAAACTTTGTTGTATTCATTCGTCTGTGTTATATTTTTCAGTTGTTCCATCGGAGGTGTCAGTGCGTACCGAGGCTTCACGAGTGGGTGTGGGTGGTGTTGGTGTTGTGAGGTGCCACGTGAACGGTGCCCTAGCTGGAAGCTGGATGCTGGTTTCCTGGCTTATTCAGGAGACACCCTCAGCTACCCTCGTCCCTCTCCCAGATGCCGGACGGTGAGATTTACTGTGTGTGTGTGTACTCACCTATCTGTATTCACCTAATTGTAGTTGCAGGGGTCGAGACTCAGCTCCAGGCCCCGCCTCTTCACTGAACGCTACTAGATCTTCTCTCTCCCTGCTCCATGAGCTTTATCATACCTCGTCTTAAAGCTATGTATGGTGTTCGTGTTTTTTTTTGTGTGTATATACTCTCCTAGTTGTACTCACCTAGTTGTTGATACAGGCGTCGATTCGCAGCTCCTGGAATCGCCTCTTCATTGGTCGCTACTAGGCCACTCTTCTTGCTCCATTAGGTCCACCACTCTTCTAATAATCATTTCCATAACTTTGCATACTATACATGTCAGTGACACTGGTTTGTAGTTTAATGCATCGTGTCTGTCTCCCTTTTTAAAAATTGGGACTATATTTGCTGTCTTCCCTACCTCAGATAGTAGCCCATTATTATTATTATAATCAAAAAGAAGCGCTAAGCCACAAGGACTATACAGCTGACAGTAGCCCAGTTTCGATAGAAGTGATGATTGTTGTTAGTGGTACACACAGCACCTCTGCTCCCTCTCTCAGGACCCATGGAGAGATGTTATCTGGCCCCATCGACTTTGAGGTATCTAGCTCTCTAAGCACCCTCTTCACTTCTTCCTCGGTTATATGTATTGTGTCCAACACTTGATGGTGTACCCCACCTCTCCATCTTTCTGGAGTCCCTTCTGTGTCCTTTGTAAACGCTTCTTTGAATCTCATATAGAGGTCCTCACATACCTCAGTCATTTCTTGTGATCTCCCCTCCTGCCTTTCTTAGCCTGATTACCTGGTCCTTGACTGTTGTTTTCCTCCTGATGTGGCTGTACAACAGCTTCGGGTCAGATTTGGCTTTCACTGCTATATCATTTTCGTATTATCGTTGGGCCTCCTTCTTACCTGCGCATATTCGTGTCTGGTTCTACGACTGCTCTCCTTATTTTCCTGGGTTCTTTGCCTCTTATACTTCTTCCGTTCTCTAGCACACTTGGTTTTGGCCTCCCTGCATTTTTGAGCCAAGGACTCATCCTGGCCTTTTCCTTATTTCTGTTACCCATTGGTACAAACCTTTCCTCAACTTCCTTGCATATTGTCAGATATTCCATCATCTCGTTTACTGACTTCCTTGCCAGTGCTCTGTCCCACTGAACCTTGTGCAGGAAATTCCTCATTCCTATGTAGTCCCCTCTCATGTAGTTTGGCTTCATTCGTCCTTCCGTTCCTGCTTCCCTCTCCACTTGTAACTCTATCATGTATTCGAAGCTCAGAACCACGTGGTCACTGGCCCGGTGGGGTCTTTCATATGTGATATCCTCAATATCTGCACTACTCAAGGTGAATATTAGGTCCAGTCTTGCTGGTTCGTCCTCTCCTCCCTCTCTGGTAGTGTCCCTAACGAGTTGGTAGATGAGGTTTTCCAGTACCACCACCATCATTTCAACCCTCCAAGTTTCTGGGCCCCCATGTGGCTCCAGGTTCTCCCAGTCAATTTCTTCGTGATTGAAGTCACCCATAATCAGCAGCTTTGCCCTGCTCGCATGAGCTCTTCTGGCCACTTCAGTCAGTGTGTCAACCATCGTGGTGTTACTCTCATCATATTCTTGCCTTGGCCTCCTGCTGTTCCTTGGCGCATTATACATCATTGCAATTACCACCTTGGGATTTCCAGACTGAAGTGTTCCTATTATGTAGTCTCTTGCTTCTCCTCTGTTTCCTCTCTCCAGCTCGTCAAAATCCCATTAGTTTTTGATGAACAGTGCCACTCCTCCACCCTCTCTGTTCCCTCTGTTTTTCCTCAAGACCTGATATCCCGTTGGAAAGATGGCACCTGTTATCATTCCTGTGAGCTTGGTTTCGGCGAGAGCTATGAAGTCCAGTGATGCCTCATTGATTCTCTCGTGCCACTCCTCCCACTTGTTCGTTATTTTATCAGCGTTGTGTGTTTGTGTGTGTGTGTGTGTGTATGTATGTATGTATGTATGTGTGTGTGTGTGTGTGTGTGTGTGTGTGTGTGTGTGTGTGTGTGTGTGTGTGTGTGTGCACTCACCTAATTGTACTCACCTAATTGTAGTTGCAGGGGTCGAGACTCAGCTCCTGGCCCCGCCTTTTCACTGATCGCTACTAGGTCCTCTCCTTCTCTCCTTCCTGAGCTTTGTCATACCTCTTCTTAAAACTATGTATGGTTCCTGCCTCCACTACTTCACTTGCTAGGCTATTCCATTTCCTGACGACTCTATGACTGAAGAAATATTTCCTAACGTCCCTGTGACTCGTCTGAGTCTTCAGCTTCCAGTTCTGACCCCTTGTTTCTGTGTCCCCTCTCTGGAACATCCTGTCTCTGTCCACCTTGTCTATTCCCCGCAGTATCTTGTATGTCGTTATCATGTCTCCCCTGACCCTTCTGTTCTCCAGTGTCGTCAGTCCGATTTCCCTCAACCTTTCCTCTTACGACATTCCCCTGAGCTCTGGGACTAGCATTGTTGCAAACCTTTGTACTTTCTCTAACTTCTTGACGTGCTTGACCAGGTGTGGGTTCCAGACTGGTGCTGCATACTCCAGTATGGGCCTAACATACACAGTGTACAGTGTCTTGAAAGATTCCTTTTTAAGGTATCGGAACGCTATTCCAAGGTTTGCCAGGCGCCCGTATGCTGCAGCAGTTATTTGTGTGTGTGTGTGTGTGTGTGTGTGTGTGTGTGTGTGTGTGTGTGTGTGTGTGTGTGTGTGTGTGTGTGTGAACCCTTTGTTACTTTTTCCCGCCCTGTACTCATCTTATGTCCTCACTTTTTGATGTTGCATGGGTCAAGTCTCTGCTCGTGGCCCCGCCTCTCCGCTGCCCGCCACTTTCTCTCTATTTTTGTGAGACTCGTCATACCTATAAAACAACGTATGACTATTGCCTCAACACTTCGCTAAGTCGTTCCACTTCCTGACTACTCTGAGGATAAAGAAATATTTCCTGATCACCCTGTGTCTCAGTTGTCACTTTATCTTGCTGGTGTGATCTCCTCTACCTCCTAAAGTTATGTTACCCCAGGTCCGTCTGTACTGTAGTGACATCAGTTTTGTCTCTTGAACTCTGGGACTAGTCTCACAGGAAACTTGTACCCTTTTTTTGGCTTCTTTCCTTTTTCTTTTTCTTAGATATAAAATGTGTAGGAATGGTCCTGTCATATGTCATGTAGTGGGTCATGAATACCTCTGTTTTGAAGTTACTGAAAGCTACCTTTAAATTTGGCGGTCTCAAGTTTACTGTGGCCCTTCTGTTTAAGTGTGCGTCTGGCGGAATGCTCAGAAGTAGGTCATACCCGATGTCATTATCTTTGTCCCCGAGCCTGTACTCTGTTTCCTCGGTTTTCATAACTCTGTATTTGTTGCAGTTAAATTTTTAAAGTCATTTGTCACATGTATCCTGTAGCTTGTCCAGAACCATTTGTAGTTAATACTGGTGTACATTGTTGGCATCTTCCTTATTAGTTTGTCCCATCTGTGAACATTGAGTGATTCCTCTGGCTCGATTTTTTTGGTCATGTTTACGTATGAAACAGTACTAGTGTAAGTAGTGACCTTTATGAATCCCCACTCATCCATCTCTACACTCGTCTATCTCTGCACCACACCAACAATAACTCTGTTGTCCTCTTCCTGTTAAGTCTTCACTGATCCAACAGTGCCTTCCCACTCACTCATGCAGCTTTTGGCATAACTTCAGAATCCTACTTACAGTCAAAATATATTCGGTCACCCATCCCACTCTCTCATGCTTAACTTTCGTCAACTTGTGATAGAGCTACCTCTAAAACGGTGCTGGCTGTTGTGTATTAATTTGTTCCGTTCTAGGTGTTCCACTATATTATATATATATAATACTCCTGATTCTTTTCTCCTGAACCTTATTCAATTTGCAAATCCATGACACTCTCTTGTAGTTTAATGTAACCTATATTTCCGCCTGTGTTTCCAGACAACTGGTAGCGGCGTTGTGGTTCACACAGTTCTTCTGCCTTGTCTCTCAGAACACAGATGTTTTCTGATCCCATTGCCTTTCAGGCATCTAGCTTATACAGTAGTTTCTGACCTTACCTTCCGTTGAGAGCATTGTTCCCAGTACTCGGTGGTAGGTTCTTAAGTTCTTGACTCTCTGAAATTGTTCCTGATTCCACTGAGAATTTCTTCCAAAAGTCTTTTTTTTTTTAAGCTCCTCGCAAACTTCCTGGTCTTTCTTAGTGAGTTCTATTGTTGCTTTAGCCATTTTATCTGGTTCTTCACATTTTCCTTCTTCAAATTTGGTTTTATAACAAATTTCATATTTGGCTTTCGATGTTATGTATTTCTCAGACTGGCCGTTTGGCCTATCTTCTTATTCATGCATTTTTAATTTCTAACTCTTCTGTTTGTTTTTCTTTTCTCCAGCATTCTTTTCATTCTTTTGTTCTTCTATGCTCTTTAACTTTACCTCTTGCCTCCCTTCATTTCTGGGTGAATGATGGGTTTACTCTCTTGTTGCCCATTCTTCTGCTTCTGAATGTGAATTTCACCTCTACTTCCCAGCACGTTCTTGCTATATTCTCTATTATATCGCTCAAAGTCTTGTCATCTAGCTCCTTCCTCCATGGCAACCCCACTTAGGAGTTGCATCTTATGTATCTGCATGGCATCTTTTGAATTTAGATTTGTCCCTTCACACTGTGTTGGTCTCATTCACTTCCACATGTATTCAACATACTGCCCAAAGAACATTTATTCCGTTTAGAGAAACGAGATCAAATAGAAATAATCTGAAATGGATGAACAATAGGCTCAAACATCTTTTAGGGCAGACGAAAGTGGGGACACGAGCACTGAGAGGCTTCTCCGATTCAATTTCTCTTATATCAGAGTCCCTTAGGTTTGTCCTCTCCTCCCTTTCTCCAGTTTTATCCATGACATGCAGGTTCATGAAGTTTTCCATCAACATCTACAGCAACTTAGCC